AAATAAGATCCGTTACTGTTTACAACTATGGAAATTAGATGGTCCAAGAACCTTGGACCTTGACCTTGACTCACCTTGGCAAAAGGAGACTAAGGTATAGTTGTGAGCTTTAGATGAGCCAGGGAAACTGCTTTGTAAACAATACCGTGTTTATGAAGAGATTAATTTCAAAGATTACTTTCAAAGTGGCCCAACAGACTTTTACTTTTGTGTCATAACTATGTGTAAAATTATCTGTATCTTCAGCCTGGGTTTCAGCACCTAATGAATTAAGATTTAAATTAGGATTTAAATGCTTAGGGATGTGCGATTTCAGTTGCAAACTGAATTACTGAAGGAGAAGGGGAGAGAATACTGATCTCCAGAAGCCTGTGACCATGGGCCTATAGAGATGAGCTGTTCAGGTCTATGGAGCTGCTTCTTAGTGTTTCACATAGAACTAAGACACTAGGACTGATCTGCACAGCCATTCTTGTTGTCCATAAGTATCTATTAAAAACTGATAAATTGTGTGATCTAGAGTGAAAGATGAAAGGGACATAAGGTCCTGTGTTGCTATGAATAAACCAAAGACAAAGTTGTTGGCAAGTTAAACGAATCGACAGAGAAAAACATTCATTCAGGTAACAAACAGCTGAAAGCAGCTGCAGAATCCACAAAGACTTCCTAATCTCCCTTTTTCTGCTTTTAAGCATAGGAAGCTAAATTAGGTTCCAGTGAGCTGTATACAGGAGGTGATGCCTGGAATGGCAGGTCCTCCAACCTATTTAAGCATGATCGTTTCTATGATCACAGGACGCACATCATGCCGCACATCATGCCCTAACCAGGGGTCTGACAGCATGCAGTCAGTCCTTTTAGGGGATCTTGGAAGCAGAGTTTTCAGAGTGGAAAGGCACGCATGGCCTCTGCTGCAAAACAAAACAAAACAAAACACAGTGTCCTTGACCTTCTGTGGTCATTTTCACATGCCAGGAGCATATTATTATAGGAGCACAGACTGAGAACGTGCAGCTGGATCTTAATAAACCAGTGATGACACCACACTGGGCATTCTGCTCTCCCTTGGGTGGGAATGCTCTGCTCACAGATGTTGGTCTCCTCTGGGGTGTGGGTAGCACTAGCTGAGACAGTCACTACCTTAAAGTTCAAGGAAGACTCCAGAGAAATGTGAGCAAGTCTTTATTCCTCGCTCTCAGACCACCTTCCCAAGAGAACCCAAGGTTCCAAATCATCCTGGGATCACAGTTGGGGGTGTGGGCTCTTGAGAAACATTCTGAGCTGGGAAGTGAAGCGGGGACGGGCGTATTTCCTGCTTCGCTGAGCAAACCTCAAGCAGGGCCAAGCGGGAAGGAGGACTTGGTCTTAGAGTCGCCAGCTGTTAGGGTGGGGTTTGGGGACAGCCAGAGAGGAGCCATGAATTAGGGATTCGAACAGAGTCATGAGATCCCGCCAATTTAGGTTGTGCTCCCATCCTTCTGGGGAATGAGTCCCCGAATTTAATCTTGGGGTCGAACTTTCTCAGCTTCTGTGGGAGAGGTGCTGGGTCTAGCCTAAAGGTCCTGGGCCACCGTGGGGGCTGGTGACTCTGTCGTTCTCTCCATTCTTTCTTTGCTTTCTCTCCCCTCCTGCTCGTGAATTTCGATCTCCATCCCTGACCCAAGGGAGGACTGACTAGGGACCCGGGATAGGCACCAAAGGTAGACAGGGGAGGACCGACGGCGCCTGTTTGGTGCCCGGGTGCGACGTGTCAATCCGCAGCGTCGCTCTACGTGGCCCTACCTGGGAGCTGAGGAGCCTGGGCAAGACGCTCCGTGCTGTGCAGCTTCCCTGGGGGTTCCCAGAGGCGGCCGCTGAAGTACGTTTTTAGGCGGTCCAGCGGTACTATTGTCTCTTTATCTTAGAGGCCTGCAGGGGGCTGTCCCCAGGGTGACGGCCCCCATGAGCTTGCTCTAGAGACCGTGGTTGCCCACGGATCCTGCGCAGTGGATTTGAGTGTCTTAACAGGCTCTAGCCATCCGAACACCAAAAACAAATCAAACCACCACAAAACCTGCCAGAAATCATAAGAGGCCCTCATCAGAGCATGGCTTTGACTCTTCCCTTACGGAGCCACAGTCGATCACCTACCCGCTTGCTACAGGCCCCAAGCGGTCTCAGCTTCTTGTTACTTTAGTCGCTTCCTTGCCCAGCCTTTCCAGCCTAGGGTCGCGCTTGGGGATGTGGCGCAGTCAGTAGCCGCCCAGAATTCCTGCGTGTGCCCGTGTGACTCTGCTGTAAGTTTCAGCACACGGGCGCGCCAGGCTCGCACTCCAGATACCCACCCCCACCCCAGTAAATCTCTAGAGTTGAGGGAAGCAAGGCTTGCAGGAAGCCGCTCCGGATGTTTGCTTCTTTACATGTGGCATTTGTGGCTGGCTTTGATAACGACGTGAGCTCCGCTTCCAACACCCATTTAGTGAAGAAACTGAAATATGGTTCACTCACATCGCGGGCGAGACTGCGGTGCGGTTGCCCCCAACACTCCTCCCAAAGTATCTGTCAAGAGATCAGCAGAAGTTAGATCTAGGTAAGAGGATGGGAAGAGGGCCTGTCTCGGGAAAGCGCACATTTACTGATAGATTTGTTGAGAGAGTGCTACCTTGTGATTCCAACAGAGGTTGTTTTTAAGAAATGGGGAAGAAAAGCCAAAACGTGGATGCTTCGTGCGTGCCTTGTGCTTTTCCTGACACAGACCAGTAGTTAACCTCCAGGAATGAGTACAAATAACCGTGGCGTGGATGCTCTTGGACTTTCTTCTCTTGGACTTTCTTCACCGCCACTTTCTCATATTCTAGGTTCCCCTCACCGTTCGAAAACAGAAAACAGGAAGCCAGGTAAAATTGTGCAAATACATTTTCTAGACCTACCCCTCAGCTATCTTCCGGAGAAATCAGTCAAGACAGAGAGGACAGAGAAATTGCCTGTGGACGCCACTGTTTACACTCTTCATTCCAAACAAACTGTTGAGCTTATACAAGATTCCACAGAAAGAGAAAATTCGGCCCGAGATCTTTGAAAAGATGTCTGTTACTAGCTGTTAATAGTTCACTGTGAACTTCATGGCTGGTGACATGGAGGCTGGGAGGCAGGAGGATTACACAGGGACACCCTCTTTCAAAACAAATGACAAAAAAGAATTGAAAAAAAAAGAGCACTTGGCTGGGGTATTTATTTGTAATATTGTTGTCTCTACCCCTATAGTTTCATTACTTAAACACAATGCATTTTTTTTTGTTTTGCTTTTAAGCCAATGTTTTTCAGAAAAACATAAAGCTTTGAGGAAAAGCAAACCACCGGTGCCCCACACTGCCGCTGACCCTTACAGACCTGGAGCTTCAGCTACTGTCTCTGTAGTGGCTGCACACTACCAGTTGTAAACAGGAGGGAGAGTCACCATGGCATTGCAACGTAACACATTAAAGAAAAATTGGCTTCTATATGAGTTCTTTGTAGAAAAAGTAAATTCTAGAAACTGTACGCCAAGAGTTAGCAAAATCTCCGTGCTTTCTGGAACCTTCAGTAAACCAGACTTGATCTCTGAAACAACACACAAGAAAGCCTCATAGCAAACAAAATGTGTTTTGGGAAGTACCCCCCACCCCACCCCACCCACGCAGCCCCCAGATAGCTCAGGCTGGCCTCTAACTGCAAATGTAGCTGAAGGTGATCTTGAACTTCTTATCTTCCTACCCCCTCTTCTCAAGTGCTGGGTTACAGAATCACATGCATTAATTAGCCACCGCAAAGACTTCCTTTTTGTTGAGCTCTTCTTGCCTGTTAAGTGACAATTTTGAGTTATGTCCGCAGTTCTTGAATTGTCCCTCCTCAAATGCATGCAGGAATGACTATGTCGATGCAAACAAACACAAATGCAACTCTGAACTGGCACACTTTTGCAGCTCCTGGTCTGAAGGCTGGCCGCTTGCTGTGAGTAACATCCTCCCAGTGCAGGGACTAGCCTCTCTGATTCTGTTTCCTCATTCAAGAGACTGGTTAGGGGCTAAATTAGTTTGCTAAGGTTCTGAAGATCCTGAATGTTTGCTGGGATAAGCACTGTAGACTGACATGTATAGAAGCCCATAGAGAATTACTTTCAAGTCTTAAGAAATCTAGAAATGCTGTAACCGTCTGTCAGGGTAACCATCTCAAACAGTATGGATTTTGCTGCTTACATGGTCCGACCCTTTTCCTCCAAAGAATGTCATAGCGCTGCTGTCTTTGTATTTTATTTTATATTTTATCTCTGCGGTGTTTGGGATGGGACCATGTCCTCCTGTAAGTCTTTAGGAATTAAACTAGGTCTTGCCTCTTTTACTGAACACACATGAGCGAGCAGCTTTTGTTTGATACAGAAATTCCCAAGGGTTGACTTGAAGTTTTAATTCATTAAGGTGGTGAAATATCGATGATTTAACATTTTATATTAAACTTTTCTTTTACAATTCACCCTCTACAGTTTTAATATAATGTAAGCATGATGCGTTCTTAGGAGAACAACAGGATTTCCCCCCCCCCCCCAAAAAAAAAATCCATATCAAGGTAATTCCCTCTGGTAATAAAGTTTTTTTTTTTTTTTAAAGAATGGAACGAATACCTAATATGTTAATATGAACCGCCTTACGGCTAGTGCTTCAATCTTCCGGTACAGTGAGCACCCCTAGCCGGATGAATTTCACTAGTCCTATTTTCCGAGTCGGAGAGGACTTGGCGCCAGAGCCCGGCTCCAGCCAGTTTTTCCCCCTGGCAGGTGTAGGCAGAGCGCTACGTCGGGGGAGGGGAAAGGGGCGGGTGTGGGGTTGAACTGGGACTTGGGACTCGGACCACCGGCTGGGCGGGGGCCTAACAACTAGGGTCCGGCCCGCCCCCGCCGCGCCATTGGCCGCATCTATATAGAAAAGGGCCGGCGGCGGCCGGGGGACACTCACAGTGTCACTGGGTAGACCTCGGACGCGTGCGGCGAAGAGGTGGGCTAGGACTAGCTTGGAGAGCAGAAGGTTGGAGACCTCGCGAACTTAAAACGCGCCTTTCTGGGCATCCCTAGGCTAGCTCACCATCCCAGCCTCAGGGTCGGGGCAAGCGGCTTGTTCCGTGGCGGGTGGCGGAGCGCGGGGTCGGTCTGGAGCGCCATGAGCAGCCCGGATGCGGGATACGCCAGTGACGACCAGAGCCAGCCCCGGAGCGCGCTGCCCGCGGTGATGGCCGGCTTGGGCCCCTGCCCTTGGGCCGAGTCTCTGAGCCCCCTCGGCGACGTCAAGGTGAAAGTCGAGGTGGTGGCGAGTAGCGGGACGCCAGCCGGGACCTCGAGTCGAGCCAAGGCTGAGTCTCGCATCCGGCGGCCGATGAACGCTTTTATGGTGTGGGCCAAAGATGAGCGCAAGCGGCTGGCACAGCAGAACCCGGATCTGCACAACGCAGAGCTGAGCAAGATGCTAGGTGAGTCTGAAGGGGCCCCGGCCACCCTGCGCGCCCCAGAGAATCGCTGGGCCACTTCCTAAAGCCAAAGGGTATTTTTTCTGGAGTCTTGCGCCCGACAGAATGGGCGTGCTGTGTAGACTCTGTCCCTTCTTCCTCTCACGCTTTGGTCCTAGGGGTCCACGAGCGAGTGCTAGGTTTTCTCAGCGCTTCAGAGCGGCGACCGGGACACCCCTGGCACGACCCCTTCCTAGCCCAGGGGACACTGCTTGTTTTTCCAGTTAAGGGGAGATAAGTGACGGAGGAAGCCTCTTCTAGGAGGCCCGAGACTTTCATCCCGAGATTTTCATCCCATTTTGACCTGGCATCTCGCCGGCTCTCCCAGTTGAAGGCCGGCCGGAGAGGGGACAGGGCGCGGGGACTCATCGGGGTAACCCCGCGGACCTCTCCACCTCCCCTGCAGGCAAGTCCTGGAAGGCGTTGACGCTGGCGGAGAAGCGGCCCTTCGTGGAGGAGGCCGAGCGGCTGCGGGTGCAGCACATGCAGGACCACCCCAACTACAAGTACCGGCCGCGGCGGCGCAAGCAGGTGAAGCGCATGAAGCGGGTGGAGGGAGGCTTCCTGCACGCCCTGGCCGAGCCTCAGGCCGGCGCGCTGGGCCCCGAGGGCGGTCGCGTGGCCATGGACGGCCTGGGCCTGCCTTTCCCGGAGCCGGGGTTCGCGGCCGGCCCGCCGCTTCTGCCCCCGCACATGGGCGCGCACTACCGCGACTGCCAGGGCCTGGGCGCCCCCGCGCTCGACGGCTACACTCTGCCCACTCCGGACACATCCCCGCTGGATGGCGTGGAGCAGGACCCGGCCTTCTTCGCCGCCCCGATGCCGGGAGACTGCCCGGCGGCCAGCGCCTACACTTACGGGCAGGTCTCGGACTACACGGTGCCCGCCGAGCCGCCCGCCGGCCCCATGCGAGTGGGGCCGGAACCCTCGGGTCCTGCGATGCCGGGGATCCTGGCGCCCCCCAGCGCCCTGCACCTGTACTACGGCGCCATGGGCTCCCCCGCCGCAAGCGCCGGGCGCGGTTTCCACGCGCAGCCCCAGCAGCCGCTGCAACCGCAGCCACCGCCGCAGCAGCCCCCGGCGCACGGCCCCGGGCAGCCTTCGCCCCCTCCCGAGGCTCTGCCCTGCCGGGACGTCACGGACCCCAACCAGCCCACCGAGCTCCTAGGGGAGGTGGACCGCACGGAATTCGAACAGTATCTGCACTTTGTGTATAAGCCCGAGATGGGTCTTCCCTACCAGGGACATGACTGCAGCGTGAACCTCTCAGACAGCCACGGAGCCATTTCCTCCGTGGTGTCCGATGCTAGCTCAGCGGTCTACTACTGCAACTATCCTGACATTTGACGGGTGCCGACCCGACTTGCGGGCCAGAAGCAGTGTTACACTTCCTGGAGGAGCTAAGGAAATCCTTAGCGGCAAGCTGTTTTGTTTTTAAGTTGCCTTGGCATATAATTTATGGTAATTTATTTTGTCTGCCACTTGAACAGTTGGGGCTATATGAGATTTTGTTTAGAAGGTATTGAGGGATTTGTGTCCCCCACCCCCACGCCACTGGACCAGTTTTAACCAGTTTCACCGACTTGTTCCATTTCTCGAAAGTGTTTTGATCCAAAGACATTTTGTTCATGTTTTTTACAATCTTAAAAAAAATAAAATCTGGAATCTTTAAAATCAATCTCGATCACATTGGTTTTATCGGAAATTAATTTAAAGATATACTGAATATTATTAGAAGTGTATAGTTAACTGTAAAATTTTCATTTTCTTACAATGGTATACCTAAACACCATAAAGAAACCGTAAATATACAGTTGGGATTGTTCAAATGTGCTATAATTGCTTAACTACGAAAAATTTTCTCACAGAATGAACTTGCCTTGTACGCTTCAAATGATACTGGTTTCTAAAAATAATGTTGTAAATGTTTATAATTTTGTACACTTTAATAAGAAGTTCTCCAAAAACTATGTTTTTCCCCCATCATTATCTTGAGACCTGCCTAAAGGGGCTTTTCAGATATCAGTTTGTCGCTTGTCTTTTCCTCCAAAAGTGTTGATCCCTCATTCCACGAAATTTGCCTTTAATCCCCCCACATTTTTTAAGAGTCACAGGAATTAAAATCAAAATAAAATTTGTTTTGTGACTGTTAGTGAACTTTAGTATGTAGTTTCAACCGTGTGTTTTACTATAGGTAACGAATGCGGGTGGTTGCCTTCCAACATTTTGAAGGTTTCAAGTGATTTGTGTGTCGCGCTTTACACGTGTGAAGAGATAAGCAGCACCAGGGCATCTCCTCCACCCCTTGAGCCTCTGCAGATCTGCGTTGAGAGCTGCAGTCCAGACAGACCATGGGAACTGATGGCTTGGAGTGGGCATTTCCTGTGCCAGGTGTTTCCTCAGTGTCGATCTGCACAGTTTGTGCCTGAACTAGCCTTCCAGTTGGGCACTATTCTTTCATTTTCCATATGATTTCAAAAAGAAAAAGGAAAAAAAAAAAAAAAGGAACCACATTTTTGCCACATTTACAAAGGTTTGGCGAAGTCTATCTCTGCTCCGCCCTGTATGCTAGGGGCTGAAGTGGGCTTCTGGAAAGGCAGGTAAAAGCACCCCACCCACCCTGCACACTAAGCTGCAACCTATGCCCACTACTAGCTCTTAAATGTATTTATAGAGTCCTTTTGTGTAGGGGCATAGGTGGAATTCACATTCTGGTCCGCAGGTAAAGCATGCGGTGGAGAGCTCTCAGCTGATGGAGTTCACTGGGTTCTTGTGGAAACGGCAATGCACCTTTTTAAAGGGGCTTCCCGATTACTAGGCATGGAAGGGCAGAGAATTCCAATGACAAAAGGTTGAGCCTATTTTGTTGGACACACTAGAAGTGACTAGAATCACTTAAAATTTTCTATTTGGAAATTTAAAGTTCACCTCAGCGTGGTTATCTAACCTATTTTCTTTTCCTTTCTCCCTCTCAGCTCCCTATGGTGTTAGTGAAGTACTCTGTAACCAAGCAGCATTCCCCAGACTGATTTGTAGCTGTGGTCATCCTGCGCCCCCAACACCCCGCCCCCCACCAGGGTCTCACTGCGTGTGGAGCTCCTGCTGTCTTGGATTTCACTAAGTAGACTCAACTGACTTCGGACTCATAGACATCTTCCTGCCTCTGCCTGGCTCCCAGGCTGATTTTCACTCAGTGCTCTGCCTTGTTCTCTATTGTTTGTTTCTTCCTCTGGTCCCAGAGAGATTGCTCCTCTTACAGGCACTTCCCAGGAGTTCTCAGTAAACTGCACTAAGCAGAGGGGTTGCCCAGGCTCACCCTCAAGGCGGCTTGATCAGTTCAGATTTTTCTATTTTAGTTCCTGAGTCCAAAGAAACACTACTGAATGCTTGGCTGCTATCTCTTAACACAATGCAGAAGGTGAGTGGGCGAAAGAGGAAGGGAGAAGCGCTTAGGGCAAAGTCCAAAATCTGGTTAAGTTACATTTTTAACTACTTGTAAGGTACAGACCGGAAGACAAGACAGCTAAAATTAATGAGGCAATGTTGTTATGCGGATGGAAGTCCCTTCATTCTCATAGACAACTCTGGTAGGCAGAGACTTCAAGTCAGTTCCTTCTCTTTCCTCAAGCTCTCGGTAAAACGAGCAAGATGTCAGCTGACGATTGCTTTGCCCTTTGATGATCCTCTGGTTTTTCTCTCTTTCATTGCTTTATGTAGGAAACACACACATAAAGGACATCCCCACCACCTTGCAAAATAGGTGTGAGCATCTAGGGCAGTTTTTCTGCGGCTGGGTTCTAAGCAACCTTGGGCGTTTGCATATTTAGATTCACCTTAAAATTAGGAAAATGGGAAGTCTCCCCTAGTAACAAGCACACAAAGCAGCCCCCACCCCTGCTCCAGTACTTAGATATAATCTGGCAGTGTGTGACTGCAACCATCCAAGGGTTAAGAAGCAAACAACACAACTTCTCAAGCATTCAAAACAAATGACAGGCATCATATATTTGAAACTGAAGAACTGCTTCTATTGAGAGTTCTTCCTTAGGCCACGATTCAAGGAAAGAGAATGGATATTCTTCTCTTGTGTTTAAAAAGGAACTTACACTGTATGTGCAAGATGAAGATGTGAACTTTTCTTTGTGATACTGTGATGGTGATTGCTAAACTCCAGGACTTGTCCCAAAATGCCCACATTGTGGCATTTATACTGGCATCATTCCTGGTCCCAAATGCCCACACTGTGGCATTTATGCTGGGCATCATTCCTTTGCACATTTTATTGGAGTGGGGTTTGCTGCTCTAACTCACTAAAAGGCAATAGAAGTGAGAGTATGGCCGTTCGTTCTGGGACCGATGTGTGGAAGGGCTTTTCAGATTTTGTTTCTTGTGTTCTTGGAATTCCTGGACTATTGTGTAAAGAGCCGAGTTACCACTTAACCAACACCGGGACCACAAAAGAACAAGAAGGCTGGCCTTGGGGTTTCTCAAGGCCACTCCCACCAGACTGCAATTGAAGCAACTGAATAGGCAAATACTCAGGATGAAGGAGCTAGGGCTCAGTGTCAGAGTGCTTGCTTGGAATACACCAAGATAGACTTGATCCACATCACTGAACAAAACAATTGCAACAACAAATACAAATCAAACAGAAGAATCCGGGCATGATATAAGTGGGAATAATTTTTTTTTTTTTTTAAGGAGAGGAAGTATGACTTCTGAAATGCCTTGCTTTTAATTAAAGGAATATAGACCTTGGTGGTAAAATCAGGAAAAGGCTTTGGGTCTCATAAGAGACATCATTATTAAAATGAAGGACAGTGTCTTAGTTAGGGTTACTTTGTTGTGATGAAACACCATGGCAAAAAGCAAGTTGGGAAAGAAAGGGTTTTGTTTGTTTTTGGCTTACACTTCCACAGCACTGTTCTTCATCAAAGGAAGTCAGGGCAGGAACTCAAACAGAACAGGAACCTGGAGACAGGAGCTGAATCAGAGGCTACAGTGGCAGACAAGCTTATTGGCTTGCTGCCCTGCTTTCTAATAGGACAGTGTGCCCCAACTACAATGGGTTGGGCCCTCTCACACCAATCACAAATTTTAAAACTGTTCTAGAGGCTTGCCTACATCCCGATCTTATGGAGACATTGTCTCAGTTGAAGCTCTCTCCTCTCCGGTAACTTTAGCTTGTATTAAGTTGACAGAAAACTAGCTAGCATTGATAGGGTGTAAAATGTGAACACAAGTTCGAAGACTGAGTCTGCTAATACCACATCTGTAGGCTGCTACATTCAGATGAAGGGATCCAGGTACCTAGCCAGTGATCAGTCATGGAGGCAGAACTCAGAGCCTGGACTATCGAGATATACTCCAGCACCCAGCTACTCATTTCTTACTAAAAGGGCTGTCTAATTTATTTCAACCTTTTACTGCTTATCTTTGAAATAAGTTAATCATGGGAAAGTTGTTTTTTCCTCATTTCTATTTTCAAAGTTGTCCAGAGACAAGAATCCAACATCTTCCTGGCCAGACTTGACATATGGCATCTACACACCTCTGGAAACAGTAATGATAAAGCTGTTTTCCTGTGTGGACATAGAGTAATCTCTTTATAGCTACCAGGTGCTGAACTTGAAGTAAATTTGCTAGTTTTCCGTTCAAGTGACTGAGGTGACATCATGATGAAATTATCTCGCTTATCATTGTCTCTGTAAGTAAGCAGCACCCATGGGGTCTTTAAGTCTGTGGTGAGCTTAGTAAGGAAGAACACATACAAGAAGATGTTCGGAAAAGTGGAGCAGAGTGGCAGGGGCCAAATATACTCACCTACCCATACATTTTTACATTTCAGTTTGCTTTAAATACTCAAGACTGTGCCTGTCACAGACAATATGTCACGTTCAGTACCCACCCACCCCACACACACCCTGTTCCTCTGACTTGTTTTGACAGAGTGAGATATTTTACCACCATTATTTCAACACATATTTATTTTTCCTGCTTACAAGGTGTTTCCTTCTGGGTCCAAAAGATTCCTCTGAAGGAAAATGGTTTGAATGTCCTGGTTTGGAGGAGGATGAGGGATGGGCTCACATAATGAGCTTGTGATCCGTTCAGGATTTCATTACATTTCAGGTCTGGTCTAGTTGTATTTTTCCCATTTTCACTGTAACACTTTTTCCTGCTCTTCTCAATAAGAAGGTGGCTGTGTGCCTTTTCTCTGAATAACCAAGCATCTTTGAATTCACACTGCCTGGTGTCCCACACATAAACTCAGACCCTCCACCACTGACTCTTCTCACTTCATTAGAAGTATTGAAAATTATCATGTCCAAGTGTTTGATATGTAACAGGCCCAGACACAATGTTGTGACTAATAATGGTGCTCTTTACTGTATAGGGCTCTTAGAAGTTCCAAGCAAAACACAATTTGATTGAACAAGAATGAAAAACTTATTCTTGGACCATTAAAATGGCTCAACAGGTAAAGGCTCTTGCCACCAACACTGACATCCTGAGTTCAATCTCTGCAAGCCATGTAGTGGAAGGAAAGAACAGACTCCTGCAAATTGATCTTTGAGCTCCATAGACACTTTGTGGCTGGCACACCCGTGTGTGTGTGTGTGTGTGTGTGTGTGTATGCGTGCACACACACATACACACACACATACACACCAGGTGCCAGAAGCTCACATACCAGAATGTCAAACTAAAAATACTTGGATTATAAGATGGGGTTTTGGAAAATAAAAATGGGGCTTTTGGTGACAATAAGAGATTGTGGGTTTTATGTATTTCACAAAATAATTAAAAACTGAAATGATGGACATGCTTGCAGAAACACAAGTAGCATTAGATAAGGCTGGGTATAAGAGAGTTGTCACAACCAATACTTAGGTTTTCGTTTGTTTGTTTTTTCTCCTGGTAGATCACCTTATATTATTCTGCTCAACTGGTTATTTAGTAGTCT